CTCTGGTGGGTTGCCGCCTGGCCGCTGCGATCGGTGGTATCGCGACACCGCCCCCGGCAGAGCGGGTTCACGCAGTTTTTAGAAAGAGCCACGCAGGCAAATAATTCTCCCTGGCCCGTGCTGCCGAATGTGGCACGTTGGGGTGTTCCAAACCAAATGGCAGTTACTCGGAAAAGAAACCAAAAGCGGTTTGCAGCCTGACAGCGAGAAAAATAAGGCAAGGAGAACTTTCTGGAGCCAGGACGAGCTCTTCGGTAATACTCTGAGCTCGGTTTTGTAGAACAGATGCAGTACTTTGTCACTACATAAATTAATCTCAGCTTTATTCTTACCTGTTCAAAATAACTAACCCTGGTCTGGCAGGTTGGGAGGAGATCGGACACTGAATTCCAGGCGGGAAAGCGCGCTGTGGCGGGGAGACCTGTCACTCCACCGCACCGCAGACTCGACAACGAGCGTGTTCCCCCCTCGCCTCCAAGAGGTGGAATTTAGAGCTGCCGAGCGACATAAAGCTACCCCAGAGCGGTGTCACCGAGGGTGGTAAAACCTGACCAGAGGCAGAGCTGTCAACAGAGAGATGCACTGAAAGGCACTGCAGAGAAACACGGTCAGTGATCAGCAGCATTTAATGTCCCCGTTTGCTGTCGTTTGGAGCTATCACCATTAATACATCCAAGAAATTAAGAAACATGGCAGTCATTAAATAAAATCACCGTGAAGGGCGCTTTACGGCGAGTAAAGCCTCGGGTCTACATGCAGTGCTACAAAAAAAGAAGTTTCTCGAAAGAACACGTTACAATAAAAAGGTCAGAGGCAACTTCGATTCTCACGGTCAACTGATGGCACAGCCCAGTCCAATTCTTCAAGTAGTGGAATTTGTTCCGTTTTCAGACGGGAATTTTCTTTTGCCCAACGTTTGCAGACACGCAGCTGTAACGCTCTCCCTCACCGGTGAGCAGCAGCTTTGCTTTCCCTGCACCTTTGTACCCCTGACTACTCTGATCTCCATGGTCACAGAAACAGCACAAAGAAAAAAATCAATAAAATAATAAATCAGGCTGTTAGAGAGTGAAGCCACTTCTGCTTCCATTCACGTCAGTGACTCATCATCTCCTTCCCAACCACCCCCCCAAGAAAAAAACAAACAAAAGAAAGAAACCCCCCGACACCAGATGCTTATTCCCCTCTTGTGTCCCCTGTCAGTCTTCAGATCAGAAAGTATTTTCTCAGCTATTGCATGTTACAGGAGAAAGGTGCCCCCCTGCCTGCCCCTCCCCGCCCCGCCGCCAACTTCAGCCTAATTCTACTCGTTTCAGAAGCTCAGACTTTGGACGTTAATTTGCTGCGGCCCCGTCCAGCGATCCCTTGGCGGGGGATTTCCCGACAGCACCGCGAGGGCTCTCCAGCCGCACGACACCCCCCAAACCTCACCCCAAAAAGTGCATATTCAGAGAAAGCAACTGTTTTATTGGTCTTCGGGAAAGCTAACTGATGATTCTGCTGATGGCTTGGAGGGAAGGGAACTCCTCGTCCTCGATATGCAAAGCTTTGTGGGTGACAAGGTCCTGCTGCGTCAGCACCTGCTTGCACGTCGGGCAGATGGAGCAGTCGAGATCGGAGTTGGAGTCCGTCTGCCAAACGTTCTTTTTGTTCTTTTTGGATTTGTTTGAGCCTTGTTTTTCTTTGACTCTGAAATCGTTGTGAGCGGAAAGTAGTTCTTGTTGCTTAACTGTGTCCGGCAACAACACCAACAACTCATTGAAAATTTTCTTGAAGTTATCGCCAAGCAGTTCTCGGCAACTTTTGTAATACTGGGCTGCAGAAATCAGACCCTTGAGGGAAAAGAGAATTGGACTGATTAGTGGGGAAAAAAAAATAATAAAAATTTAACCCCCCTCTGGGATTAAACTTTCTCCCATGGAGGACAGGTTCGGGAATCGGAAGGTTCTTGCCCACTCACCTGTCTGAATTGTCCAGAATGAGTTTTAAATTTATTGAACTTGGACTCATCACTTTGAAGGAATTCTTTAATGGATTGGATTAACTGAATGTTCCTTTGCTGGAAGTTTTCGGGTATCAAGTATGATCCGTGACGGGATTTTGGCCTGTGTTTGGAAAGACCAAAAAAAAAGTGATTTTAGCATGGTGTTACGCAAAAGGTATTTATTACATGGCTCTTCTCTTCCCGAGGGTCTGCTGGCCCCCTTCTCCACCCAACTGCACGTGAGCAGGACACAGCTTCCCTCACGGGACCACAAAATGTGTCCTGTGAGGTGCCGGATCCCATCCCAGCTCTACCTGGACAGAAGATTTAAAATGCAAGTTTTACGCAGCCTCCACCAGCTCTTTTGTAAGCCGGGCTCGCTACAAAGACGTCAGCAACAAACACCTCCCCATGAATAAAACCAAGCAGACTCGTGCAGACATCTGTATTAAACCTGCACGCGTTCGCTCTTCCCCTTTTCCCACAAATCCATCTCATTAGGCCAGAGACAAAAAGATCGAAGCAACGAAGGTGCTGAGAGGTCACCGAGGAAAAGGGGCGTGAGCACCTCGCTTCTGGGACTCGGACAGAGTCAATAAAAACGTTCAATACGTTGAAGCTGCAGATTCCCAAATAAATCTAGAAGAGGCACGAGTTGTCATTCCCCTTCACCCACACAGTGCTTGGGGACAACTCCCCTGAATCCAGCCCGCGGGGACCCCGACACGGCCGCACCCGTTCCGAATAATCCCCTCGGAGCGTTTCAAGTGTCGTTGGAAGCCCGTACGACGTAGCCGGGCCGCGACACGTGAAGTATCTCTAATTCCAAGGACTCGTACTTACTCTTTCAAAGATGTAGTGACAGGTTCGGAGATGTTGGTGGATGGAATAACAGCAAAACCTGGAGGGGGTTTACTAACAGGCACCGACAGTCCCGGAGGCGGAGGAGGACTCTTTAGTAGCACCACAGTGTTAAAGCCTGAACGGAAGAAGAGACCGGGCAGAACTCAGAGCACAGATCGGTGGCACCCACGTGTTGCTGCCTAAAATTAACACCAGGGGGTCTGACATACTCTCCAGAAGCACATTGGTATATTGGGAAAAAAAACCCTAAAAAATTAGAAAGGTGGAAATCCGTTGCTTTAACAGGTCAAAAAGCATTTTGCAGTGGCTGATGTTACTGTGCAGAGAAAGCGCTAGAGTTGTTCGTTTGCTTTTTCAATGGAAAATAATTAAAACACACCCAAACCGCTCAAATTCGTGATGGAAAACACTCGCGTGAACAGAAATCGCTCCACAAGTCCCAGCGCTGCTCGGCTTCGTGCCGCAGTTGTAGGGTACTCGACCAAGCAGCGTCTTTAAGAGCAAGTCAGCGATGCTGCCTTCATCAAAACCACCCTCAGCCACATTTGTTGCTACATTACTCCAATTTTACAAGGTTACGGCGCTGCTAAAAGCGAGGCCACTAAACCCCTGCCAACACAGTGCACAAAACAACCACGCAAGCCCAGTGACAGGCAGGAGCAGGCAGAGGTCACGGCTAAAGAGAGATTCCCTGTGCCTGCGGGCGCTTCCAAACTAGACCTTAAAACCACAAAAGCACGGAGGAGTGTCAGTGGGGACTCATCAGAGAAAGAGCGGCAGGTAAAGATGGGCTGCTCGGCCGGGAGCGGACACATCCCACCACTGCCACCGCTCTGGGTATCACAGAGGACACTGAAGCCCACCCGGGTGACCCAGATCACCTTTTAAAACGTCAAAGCTTTAACCCAGCCCATGGTGGCAGAACTGCTCCTCAGAGAGCCAGAAGGAGCGGTTTATAGGTCTCGTCCGTTGCCACCTTTCTCTTCAGTTACCCCTCCAGCAAAGCCGGCTGTGCCCTGCGGCGCTTACCTGGTGGCGGGGGCATCCGAGCTGATCCTGAGCTCCCAAGAGCTGGGAAATCTTCCTGAGGTAAAGGGCATTGGTTAGTCACTGTGGGCTTTTTAAGGCCGGGGGGCTCTTTGGGCGTACTACAGATCCCTAACGATTTCTCCAAATGACCATTCGTGACAGCTGCGGATCTGTCGGGGGCGTGAAGAGCAGAGGCCGCGTTCGACGTCCGCTCCGCTTCCGACGGCTTTTCGGTCGCCAACCTGGGAAAGGACGTCTCCTGCGAGAGGTGCGGCGACGACGGTCTCTGCTTCTCAACCCCCATCTTCTTTTTCTTGCTCACTTTCGTAAAAGTTTGTGAGGTAGAAGCTGCCAGCAAGGACGAGACGTCGAACATCGTTGGCGTGTTTCTGATCTCCTGGGTCGTCAAACCGCCGCCGCCGTCTTCATCGTCCGACTGAGAGAGTTTATTGCTCTTCTTACTTCCTTTAGTGCTGCTCAAGGAGGATGGTTTTTTGGCTACTTGGTTGACGCAGGGGTTGCTGATGGCTTTGACCACGTTTTTACTGGAACTGTTGTTCCAGGCAGACGTGATGTTCGTCACTGTTTTGTTGTTAGGCCTCGGTTTGGACACCAGAGCTGGGAAATCCTCCTCTTGGAAAGCCGTTTTCTTTGTGGTCGCTGTATAGGTCAAAGACATCCCGGCTGAGATGGTGGGAGCTGCTGAGGATGACAAGCTTGGGAAATCTTCTTCTTTAAGCTTAACTGCCGCGAGCTGGGCAGAGCTGGGAGAAATAGCAAAGCGCAGTCCATGACGCCGGGGCTGCAGGGGCAGGACAACTCCAGAACAAGCTCCGCACCCGTCTGCACCCTCCCTCAAATTGTCACCTAGGGTGGCACAGCCGACCCGATGGGACGCACTCAGGCTCACAAAATGTGTCTGGAAGGAGCCTCCTCAGAGAAATCGCCCTGGCCCTGCCGTGGTAGCGGCACAGTCTTCTCACCCCTCAACCAGAGCGGTGCAGGCGGGCGCATTCAAGCTGCAAAGCCACCATTTTAATCAGCATCAGGCTGAGATGATGAATTTTTAAACTCAGAGTACACGGCTTCTCCAAGCCATCAGGTTAAAAATGGTCGGAATGGAGAACATTGAGAAACTCCCAGAAATGGCACCACCGAAAGAGAAACCATGAGCTGAAGCAAGGGGTGACGCCGTTCCCGCAGCCGACCGGCACAGGAGCAGCTCAAGGCAGAAGTGGGCCAGGGCAGAGGGGAAATATTTGTAGTTTAAAGTGATCTATAAAACTATTTTGTTTAGAAACGCAGAACCTCAGTTTCTAAATCTGCTTTCTCACCGACTTACCCTTGGAGAGGTCCCACTGCTGAACTAATTGCTGGGAAGTCATCTTGGCTTAAAGCACCATTAGCAGCTGCTTCTTTTGGAGCATCGGCAAAAAGAGCAAAGAAAGGTTTTTAGCTACAATGCATTCATGTCAGACTGGAAGCTCTCAACAAACCCGACAGCAGCATTAAGAAGCCCTATTTTCAGCAGCCGATGATGTCAACTGTGACATTCCAAAAAGGACAATTTAAATCCAGGCATCGCTATTTCCTTCAATTAACCGCCTTCACTGTGACGTCATCGCACACTGGAAATTGCCCCAAACCAGACCCCTGTCAAAGTGGTTAAAAGGTTGCTTCCACCAGCCGTAAATGATTACTGGGAGTAACTGGGTCTGAAAAAAGGGGGAAAACCCAGCACAAGCATCACAGTAAATCGGTTCTTGCACGCCAGAGCAGGAAACGCCACGTTCTTATCGATTTGGACGGAACATTGCGGCGCAACCCTCACCTGTAGCGTCATTCAAAGACTTTGGCACGCGTTTGGAGCCAAGCGCTTCAGAATCCCTCGAGTCGTCCTTTTTCCCTCGACTGCTGCCGTCCTCTTTGTCTTCTACCCGTTTTTTCTCCTCTTGACGTTTGGCTGCCACGGAGGCCCTCACTGCTGCTGCAACATCTCTGTCTTCTTCCTCCCTAAGGGACAGGGCAGATTTTTTACCCAGCAGCTTCCTCTCACTCCAGCTGTTCTTCTGCTGCCACCTGCTGAGAAGGCTTAAACCAAACCCACCCCTCCAGCACTAGAGGCCGGCAGCGTTCACCCCCTGGGGTTGGCAAATTCTGTGTGTGGTAGTAACAATTCAGGCCAGGAGGATTCCAGGTGAACCAGGGACCGGGGATGCAGGGGGACGTTCGTCTCTCCCATTCGTTTTAGAACGTCTGAAATCATACTTGGGGGTCACAGGAGCTCTTTGAAACGTGGTTTGTCGTGGACTCTCAACACACACCAACACCTAAGCCTTTACAGATGGACTTTTTTCCCCCCCAGTGAAAGCACCTGTGACAAACCAGCTGAGCGTCCAGTGAGAAAAAGGGAGAAAAGAAATAAAATAGATGTGCAGTAGGTATAAAGCGCTCGGGTCTTGTGCAGATGAAGAGACACATAAACGCAAAATTTCATTTCACTACTTAACTCTCTTCTTTTTACAAAGCCCTCAGTCTGGCCCCACCGAGATCTGTTAGTTCAGTGAAAAGCACGGTTACTCACACCAAAGAGTCCCTTAACTCTGCATATTCTTGCCACTGATTTCAGAAAATCTGATTTAGAAAAGTTAGCATAAAAACAGTTGCTGAAATTAATTTTGGATCTTGAGTTTATCTAACCCACAAGCTGAAGACCACATTGTTTGCTCCCCGTGTCAAGTCCAGAGAGATGAATCTTCACACACAATAATTTCACTTTGACCAAGCAGGCAGTCAGCCCGCAGGCTCAGCCCGAAAGCTTCTCCTACCCTCAACGAAGGATTCACTACGAGGCTTCTGAATTTTTGTACCCGCTTCCCTCCTACTGGTCCACCAAAACTTTGTTAATAGGTAAGTAAAAGAAGCAAGATGAAGGAGCAATAAAAAAAAAAAAATCCACAAAACATCATGCTACTTGCCTCTTGTATCTCCAGCTGCCTCTTCTGTTTTGCTGACTTCCTCGGCCGCCCAGCCTGGCCGCCCTCCCTTGCCTGTTGTACCGGTCAACTTCTTCGTAGTCCTCTGCGCCCACAACACCTAAACAGGGAGGGGGGAGCGTTGATCACAGTTATTTCTCTAATCCAAATAAAAGTGAAAATATACCAGGAGAAACCAATCTACCTTGATTTCCTTCTGATGGTTAAGCAGTCTACATGACCTTTAGGACTGCGACATTAAAATACATTTTACAGGACATGGATTCCATGTGCTGTAACCCACGATGGGAGTTTTGAGTAGTTTTGGTTTTATGCAGAGACTTCTCTACAAGAAAAGCTCGTGGGTATGTGGAGCTCTGTGTCCCCAAGTGGCTACACCACGCTGGGCTCAGGCTCTATATTCAGGGCTAGTTTGCACTAACCCTGATACAAGGCATTCGGGCAATTACAAACTGGAGAAGTCGGCACTTTTCCTAAAGTTATCATCGCTAAATCCACACATAGAAGGGAAAAAAAAAAAAGTAAAACCATTTAGGTAGGAAGAGACCTGTGGATGTAACCTGGTCCAGCCCCTCACTCAGAGCAAGGCCAACTCCGAAACAACGTGAGGTTGCCCAGGGCCTCGTTTAGGCAAGTTCTTCAAGGACAAACTCTACAGCTTCTCAGGGTCCTGTTCTGGGGTTTGATTCTTTACGAAGAGGGTGAGCACTTCCCAGTTTGGCAACGATCACCAGATGTTCTTGAAAACCTCGCAGCAGCTCAAAACGAACACGTTCGTGCCTGGCCTCACCCTCGCCCCGCGCTTACCCTCGTTCCTGCGCTGGTGCCGCGGCGCGTAGTTGAACTGCAGGTCTATGTGGCGGTTCTGCCGGGCCTCCGCCCGGCTCTTGCTGTGACACGCCGTCTTGTGGGCTTTGTAATCGATCTCCGTGCGGAAAGCGTGCGTGAACTGCTCCGTGCTGCACCGGCCCTCCTCGCACAGGAAGTGTTTCTCGCGGAAGTGCTCCCGCAGGTATTCGTAGTCACTGGGGAGAGAGAAGAGGCCGAGCTGCGACCTTCCCCGTGGATTTTAATAACGGGACACGGCTGCTCTGACAAGGTGAAGCCAAGACAAGCCCAGACAGTTGGTTCTTTCTCCATCCCCAGGCAAGCTTTCCAGCTTAACCTACTTGTGTGGGTTCACCTTACAGTTGTTAAACTAAACCTCCCGGCTGCTGCTCCTCATCCCCAGCTGGAGCAGGTTAAGACATATTTCATAAAAGAAAATTTGCTTCTATCTGCTTTGCGTGGGAACTTCAGAGCATTAAACACCCCACACAGCTGCAGACACCTGCTGTGATGCTGCAAAAAACCACTTTTAACACTTAACATTAATGAAGAAAAGTTTACAACATGAATGGGACAGAAAGCAATTACCCCAGCTGTTAGAATCCTAGAATGTCTTAGGTTGGAAGGGACCTTAGGGATCATCTCACCCAACCCCTGCCATGGGCAGGGACGCCCTTGACCAGCCCAGGTTGCTCAAAGCCTCATCCAACCTGGCCTTGAACATCTCCAGGGAGGGGGCAGCCACAGCCTCTCTGGGCAATCTGTTCCAGAGTCTTGCTGCCCTCGCACTGAACAATTTCGACCTAAGATCCAACCTAAACCTGTTCTCCTTCCATTTAAACCCATTTCCCCTTGTCCTGTCACTGGACACTCTTGTAAAAAGTCCTTCCCCAGCCTCCCTGTAGGTTCCTTCAGGTATTGGTTTGAGGAGCCAACTTGCCCACGTTCTTTCAGTCTGTCTTTGAGCGCTACTTCCCCCAAAATCACGAGCAGAGCCGAGCAAATTTTCCTCACAGTCTAAGCTACAGAACGAGGAGTAAACTGCTCGCACAAACCTGTAGTATTCCTGAGCACCGTCAGAGTCACAGAAATGACAAAAATAATGATCTCGCCTTAGGTGTTTCAGCAACTCATCGTTATCCAAGTAACGCTCGTCACAGAATTTACACAAGGGGTGCCCCCGATGGGAGGTGTCGTCTGGATCTCCGTGGATCCGATGACGGGCGAGGTCCTTCCGAGAATACCATTTCCGTTCATAAGTAAAGATCTGGAGGGAAAAAAAAAAACCCAACATACATACGTGCACTACGTCTTGTGAACACAGAAGGAAATGGAATAAGCTGAGTTGTGCACAATGTGTTCATCTGTAGGAGTGGAGGATTCGGTTCAAAAGATGCAATTTGACAACCAACACCTAAAATTTTCAGTGAATGGGGAAACAAAATTCAAGCGATAGATCCCAATAAAATCTAACTTGCACTTCCCTCAGTTTGAACGTCAGAAATGGATCTGATTCACCTTTTTCTCTTCCGTATTTTTGCGTGTGTGTTAACATACCACAAGAAACTTTAAACTGTAACCTCTGGTGGGGAAAAAACAGCAAAGAAACCCCCATAAAGCCGAAGGGAGCTGTTTACATTCCTCAGACAGCAACTACCCCAAGACAGCCACATGCAGAGGATAAAGCTGAGCAAACGGATTTCTATTACGAGCCCATCTTCCGTCTCTACCAGCACGGGAGCTATTTTGGTAGGAAGGGTTCTGAAGCTGCCAAAAAGATCCTGGGAACAGAGTATCCTTTATTTCTTGCTTGGAACAAGGACTGTTAGCTTCTTCTGGGAAAAGGTGACGGACTGAAGCTTCTGTAAGTTTAAGAACTTCTTCTCTGTGGGGACTAGTAATACAGAACTTCCTTCTGTGAAATAAAAACATCCAAAATATTCTGAAATTAGAAGCCAACTGTGGCATCGCGGGGTAAATGCGTTGTCTCCGATTTGGTATTTAATTGGTTTCAGAGAAAACAAACCCACGTGTAACGGGTTCTAAAAATACGCGTTCACGCATTAAATTCCCTCCTACAACAATAAGAAATGCTGACAGCTATTAGGCACCGAGGTCAGCAGCCCTACAGTTCATTTCGCAGCAGCTGCTGATTCCGTCTGACGCGTAATTCAGCGACACAAACACCACTCTGGCTCTGGGGAAAGGTGAAATTCTGATTTTTTCAGACTGGGAGAACGCATTGCTTGACTGACATAACAGCACCTGTTCTAAGTAAAATTTGGGTGGGGTTAAAATACAAAAAGAGATGAAGGCGGTGATGGCAGGATGAGTAGTTTTAAGGTTTAATACACGTCACCTTTTCAGACATAAGCCAGCTCAGCTTTCCAGTAACTGTTTTATCTTTAGCAGGTTGTAAAATACATTTTAGAACAGCCCCGGTCACACCCTACACGTGTAGATCAAACGCAAAGGACTGCAACAGCGAGTTTCAATTTCCAATCGAGTCAACAAGATGCAGGAAATTTGCTTTGAACAAATACGCAAGATAACAAAAAATAACGATCTTGCATTAAATCAGCAAGATGGACTCTGTTTATGATTGAACTGTAAATGTTACGTTGACCCCGAGCTGAGAAATAAATCCATCACGCCGTGATGTGCTCCGCTTTCTGCACCAAATATCTCCTGAAGTGACAGCTTTAGCTTGTAACACTATTGTGAGCATAAGTCTTAATAAAAATCTCTCCTGTGACACTGGTGACAAAGCCTGCCCACCCCTTGGGATCGATACCTCTCACCTTTAAGTGTTTCACGCAGAGTTTGCAGCAGAAGAGCTCGTGCTGCTTCCTCATGTGCTGCTCCAGATCGGCGAAGGTGTTGAACGGCTTCGCGTCCGGGCACAAGGAGCATTCGTGCTGCAGCAGCTTCCTGAGGGACGAGGAAGATTGTCTTAAGATTACGCGATCCCCTCCCTCAGCAACCCGATGGAAAAAAAAACCCCACAACAAAACCCCGAATGCTCGGGCAGCGGCAGGCGGCTGCATTTTTATAGCTCCCCCAGCAATTTGTAAGGAGGCGAGGGCCCTGCCTGCACCAAGGCTACTTCATCAGGTGTGAGGGACAGAACAGAACCAAATTACACCGAGGCTCCAAGGCTAAGAGAGGAGCTGAAGAGATTCAGAGTAAAAAACATGAAAAAAAAAAAATCGAGTAAAAAAATCGAGCGGATAAACATGCAACGAACCTCTTGTTTTTTGAAGATATATGCAACATTCACATCCAGCTGAACTCTGCTGAAGGATACAGCGGGGGGAAATAAAGAATTGAAATAGAAAAGGAGAGGAAGAAAAAGAAAATGGAAAAAAAAACCCCAAACCCCAAGGATTGCCATCAAGAGCTGAAGTGGGAGCACCGGTCTCGGCGGGAGAGCGAGATCTCAGCACCCCTCCAGAAATCACACCGGCAGAAGCGGCTCCCACAGCTGGCGTGTGAGGAAGCACAACGTGCTTCCAGCCCATTCGGCCAAAGCTAAAGCCACTGCCTGACCCCGCAAATACGAAGTCCCGCTAAACGGTAAATGTATGGGCAAACCCCAGCATCTCAGCCCAAATCAGGCTGGATGTAATAACGCCCAACTCTCCACAAAAAAGGTCCCGCTGCCTGCAGGGTGTCATCTTTCTTCCCCACTCTTTTGTCCTTTTATCTGCTTTTAATTATCTTAAGTCCTCCCAGTGAAGCACATTATGAGAAATACTTTCGGAACACGATGCTGATGCCGTATTTTTCACTCTACATTGGATTTTTACTTCACCCTTTTTCTCTCCCATTTAGAATTAAGGCAGATGAGGTTGCCCTTCTCTTCGTACCATGTTCGACACAATTGGTTTTGATCGGCCCTCATGCAGCATGGCAAGAACTACAATTCTTAACAGTAACTCAGTCTTTACCCCCTTCCACAGCAGCCACATGAGGAATGAAAACCCTTTCGGGAGAAGTTTGCTGCTGCTGAAGGAGGAAAAAAGCAATTTTTATTGATGCTCCTGCCTTACATGCTACTGAATCGGACGCTCCAGCCGCGAGGAGCTGCTCCCTTTGCCGACCGCGGGACTTAGCGGCCACGCCACCGCGCTGAAGCCACCCTCAGCTCAGTGACTAATGCCCACAGCACGGTGACTAACGCCTGCAGCACAGCAGCCACTTCACCCCCATGAAAAAGAAAACAAAACCAACATAACAATACCCTGTGCTATTAAAGCATGCACTTCCTGCCACGTAACGCAGATAAGATTACGTCACCGCGGGGATACGCTACGGAAAGGATCCCAATACTTACCTGTACAGTGCATAAACGTCTCCATCCATAAAATAAATGTCGTATTTCTTCTCATGCTGCAGCTGGTTAAGTGCTATTGTTGAGAAAGACGTGAGCTTCCGTCCGAAGACAACCTGGAGGCAACACAAGAATCAGCGAGAGCAGGCTCAGGCTGTGGGATTCCACATAAACTCCTCCACACAAGCTTTATCCGGGAAGGAACTCGCTGCAGCCTGGAGCTTGGACAGTGCTTGCAGAGCTTTGGGTCAGTCCTGGCTCGTCGTCACCATCCCCAGTTACTGGCCCCACTGCCGCTGTCACCACTCCTTATCACTTCACAGCGAGCGAGCCAGCTGGATCAGCTTGGCCTTTGGATTTTGAACCAGATTAGGAAACTCTTTTATGGCGTGTTTTGCCACGGCTGCGCTAAGAGTAAATACCTTTGGCCAACTCAGCCCTTTGTGCGGCGAAGGCCAGCCAAGAGCCCCGCACTCAGCCCCCTCCTGTCTCCTGGTGGCAGAGAACAGAGCGAGAAGGGACATTCCTCAGTGTCTGACCGGGAAACCACCGCTCCTTCTTCCCTTAGCTACCAGGAAAGCAAGAAACAAATCGCTGCATCGCCTTCCCGATTAGTTGGGCCGCACGCTCCTCCTCAAGAACAGCTCAGGGCTGCTCCCGCGGACCTCCAGCGTCTCACTCCGCAGCCGGTCCTGGACTGACGTCCTCCACCAGAGGCCACCTACCGCCAGGCCACTCCAGTGCACATTCCCAGTTTGGGAACGGCCAGGGGAGCAGCAACATTTGTGAAACGGCCGGAGTTACCTGCACCAGCTCAGAAAGGCTGAGACACAAAGGCCTTCCAGCTCTTACGGTGACCACCCTAGGCCTAGAAAAACTTACAACCCTAACAAAAGCATCCAAGCCTATAATATGCACATAGTTTAGTCTTGTTCAATCACTTCTCTGCCCTTGTTGGGGTGAAATAACCATGGAACAAGTCTTTTGCGTCTGGTTTTGGGGTTTTTTGTAAAGCTTTTTTTACAGTGGGGTTACAGTTAACCAAAACTAAAAGATACAGCCAACTTGATGAAATATCAAGCTTTAACAAAAATAATGGAAGTTTAAGTTGTAATTTATCCAACAAACTATGTGTAGCTCCAATTATTAAAAAAAAAATTTAGTTTTGGTGAAGTTTTATTGACATTTCATTTCTGACCTGAAGCGAGTTTTAGAAGAGAGGAATGGCTAACGCTGAAAAGATTTTTCTCATAGAAGTCCAACATGATTTCCTACAGCCCACCCTGGAACAATCCCACACACGCTCACATCAAGAGCACCAACACATCCACGCACACGTCAGGGTTAGTTTAGAGGTCAACAGGTAACCCTTCCTAACTTCCCTGCAACAATGAGGCAGCCCTGAAAGCGGGTATTACCATAACAAGTAAATCCTGCTTTCTCCTCCCTCCCTCGTGCTGCTGCTCATCTTTTAGGGTTCTAGTTCCTTCGGACGTTCTGCTGCGACAGCTCCCAGGCCTGTCTGCACCGCTCTGTGCCACACCAGCTGAAATCTGGTCGTGACTGCCCGTCTCTGCTAATTCCACGCACTACACAAACGAAGAGGCGCAGGTTTGGGTCCTACATACGTGTTCAGATCACTTGGCAGCAGTTTTGACGCAATTTATGCCCCCCAGTATCTGTTTTTTCCCTTTCTCTGGGCAGATGGGTGAGCAGACAGAACAGCGTGATGGTGGTGCTTAAAGACACGGGGGGAATAAAAGAGCACAGCCATTAAAAAGAACAGGTGATTATATTAAAAGGGTTGTTTGAAGCAGTTAATAAAGGAAGGAGAAAGACACCTGAACAAACCACAGTTCAGGCCACATAATACAGCAATATTATAAAACTGAAAAGCTCTCGAGATCAACAGTCCATCCGTGACCCCAGGACAAGCGGGTTTAAGGATGAAGTGCAACATCACAGCTTGCTTCTTCCCGGGAGGAGAGAAGCGAAGCAGCAGCTCCTCAGAGGATGATGAGAGATAAAATTACTTTCACAGAGTTTCTTTCTGTTCACAGAGGCTACTCATGTGCCAGTCAGCTCAGTCTAAAAACCACACTGACCTCTCCAGCCTCCACAGAGCCTGACAAACTTCAGCAGGCAGGCCAAGATCTTCTATCCCTCCAACCACTTGAACACCATGAAAAGCTGCTGACGCCAACAGTTTGGAGGGGGTCGGAGGGCTCTCCTTTCACTCCTTGCCCCGATGTATTTGTTTTATTTCACTTCCTAAACCATCTCGGTTTATTTTGGTCAGTGCCAGGACCAATTCTTTTCCCCTTACACGGTTTGTTTTTAATCTGCACTAGCTCTGCAAAAACAAATCCACGTCCGAGGATTTGTTTTCACAACTATCCTCGAACAACTTCTCTGCCGTG